CATATATCGTGTTATTAATTCGTCGTCTCTGATCGTGCATTCTCCATTGAAAGGAAACTTCTATGACAACCCCTTGAATACAATTCCAAGAGCGATGGACACTCCCTTACCAATTATCCGTCTTCGTGTCTCCAGTTCTTATTCTTATTCTTATTCTTATAGGTAGGCGGTACATGAATTGCTCAGAAGAACCTCAGAAGCAACCCTAAGTTAGGGTTTAAAGCAACGGCGGTACACAGAACAGCAGTGGTGGGACCGAGAAATGCGATGGATGCCTCGCTCTGTGGATGGACCATGCACAGGCCGGTACCGCGAACTCACAGTGGTCCCTCTTGTGCATGGTCCGTGCGCTTTGGTAGGGGGCATGTCTGTTTCGCGGTACATCAAGTCTATGGCCATTTGCACATGACATGGGCGTAGGGAGCGCATTTGTTTCGCGGTACATGACCGAATCTCGAAATATGCACATTCTTGTCATTTAGATTCCACGTAGGTAGCATGTACAGTCCGTGGTACATTACTGAATCTCGAAATATGCACATTTTTGTGTTTTAGAAATGGCGTAGGTAGCGCGTACAGTCCGCGGTACATGACCAATTCTCGAAATATGCACATTCTTGTCATTTAGATTCCATGTAGGTAGCATGTACAGTCCATGGTACATGACCGAATCTCGAAATATGGCCATTCTTGACGTTTAAAATCTTGTAGACCTCGCATTCAGTCCGCGGTACATGACCGAATCTCAAAATATGGCCATTCTTGCCATTCAGAATTTGCGTAGGGAGCGTATACAGTCCGCGGTACATTACCGATTCTCGAAATATGTCCATTCTGGTGTTTTAGATTCTGTGTATGGCATGTGTGCAGTCCGTGGTACATGACCGATTTTCTTTGCAGGCTGCTTTTCATCTGTCGGAGTGAAAATAGTACCATAACAATTTGTTCAATTTGATATCACGTCTTTTGTCAATATACTCTGAAATGGTCAGAATATGTGTTTCATTGACATTGTATTCCAACATCTTTTTTTGCTCCCCTTCTCCCTTTGTCAATTTCGACGCTGAGTGGGCGACACAATGGGCTCTCCCAGCAGCATCCCTCGGTTCCCTTCCATAGTGATTGGTTCCCTTTCATCCGTTATTTGCCTCCTGATGTCTGGCTCTGCTTCATCCTCTGATGATTCCTCTTCTTCTCTGCGCTCTCGGAGAATGCGATCTTCTCTTTCCTGCATGTCCATCTCTTTTTGCTTCTCTCTTTCTTCCCTCTCAATTATCGCCATGATTTCCTCTTCATCCTCCCTATCCCCCCATTCCTCGACATTCCACAATGCTGGCATGTGGCCACTCGTAATATCAAATCTCCAGTTCTCTATCCATGGATTCCGGATGAGACGGACTGCTGAACATGGTAGATCCTCTTTTCGAACTTGTTCCGGTTTAATCAGTTCCCCTCCCGACTTCTCATAAACACACACCCATGTACTATCAGACCAAACACACCACAGGAATTCATCAAATGCCCTCTTCAGTGCTCTTCGCATATCTTCCACTTGTCATGAAGAAGACATATCATGCACAAATCCTTCCCACATCTTTATTGATTTCATCTTTCCCCAGTTACTCCGTGCAGACCATTGTTTCCTCGTGTTCAGTTCATTCGGAGTCCGGAAGATGTTGTCAAACAGTGAATCCCACTGGCTCTCTGTTCCTTCATGCATTCGTGCATGTGTCAACACTCCTCCAAGATCATTTTCTTTCATGATACGGATGTCGACCATCCGCCGTTCATTCTGTGTCAGAGGAGAATGCTCCCATCCACATTTCGCCCGTCCAACCTTCTGCAGCATGTCAGACACATATTGCTGTAGTACTTGATTCAGAAATGTCCTGGCATGCTCCGGATATTGTTCGTCATATATCCGGTCCTCTGGTGGCAGATCGGGCCCATAGTCATATGATTTTTCTGGCATTTCTATCCGTCGAGCTAGCCTTTCTGTCTTCGGCATTGGCTCCTCAGATCGACCCTTGGCTTTCCTCGTGCATCCTATGACCTGACCCGTTGGCTTCCATTCCACCAATTGTCGCTGCTTCATGCGACTATCTTCAGAACAGAACTCATTCAGTGTCTTTCTAATGCCCAACAAATTCCAACCTGCCTCACTGGGCACTTGGATGACACTCTCGCATCGTGGTATTCTTGTACCACTTCCATTCCGTGTTGGCCATGCAATCACACTGCTCGGAATCCACCAGAGTCCTCCCTCTGCATATGGTCCTGGCTCATCCGTCCTGTCTCTCTTTCGCATGCATGAAAGGATCATGTGATGATCTTCCTGCCAGTACGTTCGTGGCCAGATGGCATGCATCAACATCTTGTGTCCTGATC